GAGACATGTGCCACCTAGCGACTTGAATCAGCCAGACGGTGGCGCTTCTGGCATGGCCTACTCCTAGCTGGGCGTCCGGGAAACCGAAAACGTCGAAGTCCTTCTCAGCTTGGGAGACTCTGCTGGAGGATAAACCTCCACTGTGCGACACCCAGAGTCACCCCCACGCCACGATGAGGCGGTAGACCATCACGGGGGTCTGCGGACGTTTAGGTCGCAAAACCGCTCACATTGCCACGCCTTTTCAACTATTTCCCCCTTAGCACTGGCCGTATCTGACCTCTCTTGCCAGCAGTACTCTCTAATGTAGACAGCCCTGCAGTCCTCAGACAATCCAAAGGACTTGAAAACTTTCATTTTTGCCATTTCGCACTAATAGGAGTTTAATTCCACAATCGTCGCATCCAAAAGACTTAGAAAATGTATGGAGGAAGTTCGGACACTACCTATAACAGCACATGGTTTATCATTTCCACAGGCTTCTTTCGAGGAATTTCATATCAGTCTGAGATGTAAGAGCTCTTTTCACAACAACAACAAAAAATATGAGTTCAATCTAGTATCACTATTTTTTCTCTATTTAAGATAGCAAATGAAAAAATTTAACAAAGAATGGGATCAAATTTAATATTTCTGATGGAACAGGCAAAAGGCTTATGTTTTTAAGGGGAACTTTCACAAGATAAACAGAAAAAACGGCGATTAAAGTATATTCATAATTTTCGCCATCAAATCACTGAAGGTGACATATAATGTTGAAGTATAACAAATACTGAAATTTTTAAAATCATGAACATCTGGGTCAGGCTACATGAGCTCTTGACAATCATAGATCATGTCTTGAAAATAAAAGAATGGATCAGAGCGGTATGTTTCAATAGCCAACTAATTACCTTCATTTAAAGAAATTATGCATAGTAAAAGATACACAGTATCTAATGGAGGTAATGAAGATCCCCTCTTGCGTTGATGGTAACGGGATGATCGTTTAGGTATGAGACGATATCCACTTCACCGACTTACATTCAACAAGAAAACTAATGTTTAGAGAGATTACTCTTCTTTAAGTTTTTTAGTGGAAATAATTCTAACAAAAATACGACAAAGTTCGATTAAAACTAGAACAAATATGAACAAAACAGCAACAATAGCAGTAATCACATCAATATTGAAATATACTATGAAATTCAATCGAGAACCTTGCACATGAAGTTCTTTTAGAACACCATTTGCAATGGCAAAATTTGTCCATTTTATGAGACGTTCTTCAGCAGAGAATGGCTTTTTCCGCATTAGTTTTGATATGCGAAGTGCATTTTCCTTGTAACTGAAAATTTGATGAGAAATGTTTGAAACTGAAATAATGAAAAGCCTTTATTGCTTGGACTGTATTGGCATAAAAATTTGGAGACTTTGCTTAAGGGAATTGTTCAACAGAAAGCGAAATGTACAGTACCGTCCTTAACTTCTGCAAAAAAAAGTGATTTTACATGGAAATCTGTCAAGCATCGCATGGCTTTCCCTTTTTTATATATCTATTTCAAAAGAAATTATGACAATGCGACACTTGCGACGGGTCTTCGTGTGAAATTACGTCTTCTTTGCAGAA